TTCCAGGAGCATTGGATTTAACAGTGCATTTTGATTTTAGTATAGTAATTTTCAAGTCTCTTTTTATAGATTTTAAAGAATACAACAATTAATTTATGACTTTTATGATTGTTTTCTTGTAGTTGAATTAGTATCAATTATATTTTAGGAGGGTTTTCAAATTTTAAAAGATAAGTATAAGAAATGATTATGGTTAGATATTTTTTAATATTAGTGATAAGAATATCTAGCAAAGTATAAGTTGGTTCAACAGATTAATTCTTGAAGAATGAGTTGATTCAACAGGTTAATTCTTGAAAAATGAATTAGTTCAACAGTTAATTCTTGAAGAATGAGTTGGTTCAACATGTTAATTCTTTGAAAAATGAGTTGGTTCAACAGATTAATTCTTGAAAAATGAGTTGATTCAACAGATTAATTCTTAAAAAATAAGTTGGTTCAACAGGTTAATTTTTGAAGAATGAGAAAAACTCATCAAGAACTTTTTAAGATCCTTTGTAGTTTTTTTGAAGAAGAAATTTTTATTTTTTTTTTTAATAATTTTTGTTAAATGCTATTATTTTAACTTTATTAAAAAACTTTTTTTTTAGAAAAATTTTTTTATTTTTCTTTCTTTCTCTTGTCAAAAGATGAAATCTTATAGCTGCATAGAGTTTAAGATATATTGATACTATATAAGACTCTGTCATCTAGAGGTATAATATTTTAAAAAAGTTATTTGTAGTTAATACTAAAAAAGATATATTTAAGAAGTGTTTTTTTTGCTTAGAGAATATAAGCAAACTAAGACCTGCATATATTAGAAGTTAGAAGATAAAGAAAAAAGTATTGGAAAGTACTTTTTTCTAATAAAATATAGCTTTATATATGATTAGTTATCACAAACAAAAAAATAATTTATTTCTTTTATTTCTCTTTTTTTTTCATTTTCTCTAACTTTTTTTTCTTGTTAACAAATAGTTTTCTTTTTTTTAGAAAGTTTTTTTTTATCAAACTATTTTATCAAACTTAAAACAAAGTAGCAATATTATCTTAATTAAATATATTTTTTTAAAGTCTAGTTGAAAGAAGTTTTTTTAAGAAGAGTAGGCTTTTTCTAAAAATTCTTATTTTTAATTTCAAAGTATTTAATTAAGAAAAAATCTTAATAGACCTGTAGGTTCATAGTATAATGATTAATACTTCACAGATCAAATCACAAGATACTAGTTCAATCTCATATAAGAGTGATTAAATAGAATTAATATAATATCGGATACTATAATTTGTAAAAGTACTGTTTCTTATAAGAAGCCATTCATATACTAATTCAGTAGGTGTTAAGATTATGATTTTCAGAAAAAGGTATTGTGATGCAATAATAGTCCAGTTGATATTATGATGATTTTCAGAAGTTGCAAGGTGTATAAGATGTCCACTTTCAACAAGTAGGTTTGATGATTACTTTCCTAATATTTGATATTTTTTACACAGATCTCTGCTCTAGTCTTATTCCAATCCAGTAATAAACTGGTTTGGTGGCACTTATCTCGAGAAGGCATCTTGCAATAAGATCTGCTTCCTGCAAAATTATATAAGTCAGTGTTTAGACTATAAGAATCAGTTATAAGTCTATCTTAAATATTCTTAGATATCAGTTGGACAAATAAGAAATTAAGTGATTAGCCTAGCTACAAGTGATAGTAAAGGGATTTATCTCTGATGAAGCAAGTAATGATTATGTAGCTTTATTCATTATAGATATTATCTCTAGTATCTTCTTTCAACTTTTCCTTAATTCTTTTTCAGTTAAAAATAAAGCTTAACTATTAATAAAAATACATACTACTAATCAAATAAAAAAATTCCTTTGTTCAGTAAATTAGTTTTTATATATAATGTAAATTAGGAACAAGCTATAGCAAACATTATTATTTGGAACAATTCTGATAAGAGTTGGATATTACTAATAACAAATATGTTATAGTGTTGTTTTAAATAGTATTGTTTTAGATAAATATAAATATTATCATTAGAAATAATTTCCAATCTAACAATTATTGCTAGTATACAATAAAAAAAAAAATCTTAATAACAGTATTTTGACTAAGAATTAGATTTAGTTTCCTATTAAATATTAGAATTTTTTCATCTATAATTATCATTTATTACATCAAAACTTGTTAAGTGCAAGAAGAAATACAATTATATAGTCAAAGATAATAACTTGACAAATAAAAAAGATTAGTATATAAGATTTTGTATAGTTGAACTTTAATTCTATTTGAAATATGTAATTAGATATATGTATTTAAATAAATGTTTTTTCTAAGAACTTTAATTTTATTAATATTACTATATATTCAAAAAAAAAATTTATAAAGTTATTTTTTTGTCCTATTTTTTTAATTTTTAACTAATTCAAAAAACTGTAATCAGTTTATCTCTTTTAAAAAATTGATATAAAAAGAACATACAAGCTATATTTAAGGATCCTAACAATTTAATTTGATTTGATTCTTAATTTTTAAGTTTATATTAAATTTACTATGTGAATTATAATCCACTATTATTTTTAATAGTGTTTTGAATTTTATATAAGTCTATGTGAGTCTATATGAGTTTATGTAAGTCTATTTGATTTCAATTTTCAGGACTATAGCTGTATCACAATAATAAAAACAAATTACTAGACTTAGTATCTATTAAAACTTGACTTTTTTTATTTTATCAAATTTTTTTCTACTATTACTATTTAGTAAACATATAAAAATAACTGATAGAATAATTAATAGCTAGTTTTTATTTGCTTTTTTTTTTCCATAAGAGATTTTAAATTTCTATATATCATCTATACTATAATAGGTTACAATTAATTTACTTAGGTAAAGATTGTTAATGTAATAACAGTAAATATTTTTATTTAAATAAAGTCTTACATTTAATATCTATTTACAAAAAAAACAAATTAATTATTAATTATATATTAATAAATTTTAAATTTTCAACTTTATTTTAATATATTTTTATTAATTTTTATGCTTAGCTAAACTCCATCTAATTATCAAGTTTAACAAAAAACTCCAAGGTATTAACAAATTTAATTACAGATCTTTAGTTATTTTCTAAACAAAAATTATAGTAAATCAATTCTTTATTAGAAACAAACTTTATAAGAAGTAATGAATAAATAAAAAATTTCAATATTTTTTATTTTATTTTATTAAATAATTATTCAAAAATACAATACATATAATATAATCCATATGAATTAACCAAAAATATTAATTCAAATATTTTTGTTATCGTATTTTAGGATCATATTTGATCAAAAATGTATATAGCATTTTAAGGATAAAACCAAAATTTCGTTTTTTATTAGAAACTCTATTATAAAATGATCATACTGTATATTGTAAATATTGTAAATATTTAAGTATTTTAAATCTATAATATTGACTCGTTATGCAATACATACGTATAACGAGCATCAAGAAAAAAAAGTAATAATTAAAAAAAATTTTTTTTTGAAACCGATACTTCAAAGTCATAATTTGATTAAGCAATATCTTACTTCAGATAGTGTGTTCTAAAGGGATTGTGGTAAGTCTTACGCCGGCGCCTGGATCATAAATGACCCCTGAGACACTTTCACCTGCATAAGTCTTGTAGACGACTAGCTAAAATTATTAGCATTTGGTACTTTATATATACTACGACAAAAGGCTGATTCAGCCAACTATTACGAAACTTTTTCCGGAAGATTTCCCGTTCTCACACTACACATAATGTTTACATACATAACATACATAATACGTGGTAGCCTTAATTAGAAGGTTTTTGTCAGTTCGATCTTACAATGCAAGTGAAACCGTGGCTAAAACAGATTTCGTCATGATTTTTTTTTCACAGGATTGTTTAATAATCATATGTTTATTGAGTTCATCTTATCCGAATGGGGATACATGGGGATACACGGGGATACGTCTAGGTCTTCACGCGAATACGTGCACGTACGTAGAACGAAACCATATAAATAGTCAGATCACAAAAAAAACTCGAATATCATGCTTTTTGGCAAACCCTTTCGGTACGCATTATCGTAATTTTTCTTGTCGTTGTTCGCAGCGAGGGTGGATTTATTTATGTCATTTTAGTTGAGCACACTTTCCTCACGGAAATTCCACACACCGCGTAAATATCGTTGATTTATTTATTTATCATTCCTTCTGAATTACCCGATGCAGCTCCCGTCTCCCTCTCTCCCTCCCTCTCTTTTTTTTTTTCTTTACATTTGGTTAGACGTGACGGACCCTCGTGGCCTGGCGCGCTAACCTAATGTGATGTTGAGCAGATGTATGGGGAGGAAGAGCGGTATTACCCTCATTCTCCTTCGGGTTCTATCACTGGATAGCGCTAGCACATTAATCGCGAGAGAGCACTGGTGTTGATGAGGGAAACTGTTTAACGATGGTTTACAGCTAAGTGGCAGATATTAACTGGATGTATCAGGTCCTTAGTCAAGTATATCACGTTAAGCTTGTATCCGTAGACAATAGTGCAAAGTTTGACTCAACATCTTAAGATTCTTATTTTTCTTATGACACACCAACCCTTTTTTCTATCCAGTATGACGTGTCGCTGTTTGCCAAGAAGAAGAAAAACTCATTGCTGTTAAGATTATTTATTACATTGGTTTTGCATGTATCGATTGCACTGCCAAATAAATAAATTACACCAGCATACATTCTTTTCTCATTCATTTTCATCGATGAAAAGTGTATCTATCTATTAATTCGTGGCGTAAATAAAGATTTATCAATCAGAACTTTTGGGATCGTCATGTATCGAGTGCCTCGCTATTCTCCTGTGTCAAATTACTTCCATAATCTCCTGCATAAATACAGTGCAGTGAAATCTATTGTTTACGAAGTTCTATTTATTTTTGTATAAACAAGATGCAATTTTTCGCAATCGCGATGTAAGTCATTTTTTTAAACAAATTTAGGCATCTCTTTGCATCAAGTAATGACACCACTAAAAAGTAGTGAAGAAAAGAAAATGAATAGTAGCATGGTAGTGTATTCCGGTATTTTGGTTGGTGCAGAGTTGGCCGTGATGGTAACGGTTACGGTGGCATAGCTGACGGTGCTTGCTTTTTGAAGGCCAGGGTCAACATTCTTACTGACATTTGGATTGAATTTGTTTGTGGTTATGATGACATTTGGCCTGTATGGATTTGGATAGCCCGGACTCGCGTATCTAGACGAAGAGAAGTTTTTTTTTTTAGTAAAGTTAATAAATTGCGTCAGCAAAAAAGATTCGATTTCAACTAACCCTAGAGTATTGAAAAACAATAGCAATTCCGGTCCGATGGGGCTCTTATAATTCCCACGAGAAGCTACCAACGTGTTCAAATCTTTTCCACGATCGGCCAAATATTTCATCAAGAAATCACATGTTGAATTGTAGGTCTGTAAACTCACGTGGCTCACGCTACACCCCCGTTGGTAAGGGTTAAGACTAGTTTCGAGAATGATGCAATCACTCGATTTCGTTCCCCCTGTTGGCAAAAATCCGAGTGAGAGTGGTGTCACCGAACTGTTCATCATCCCCAGCGCTAATTGATATTGTTTTGAGGATTTGAACCGCATATAAAATTCTTGGATGTTTGAAAACTTTGTGCCACTACCAGCGAATTCATTAAGTTGATCGGTTATTGCGGAGACCCTTCTGCCGGTCGGTATGTCGATCATGTACTTATCAAATGCCGATTCAAAAAATCCGTTGAATATCAACGTGGATGAATTGGCACTTGAGATTACGGAGATGTCAGGAGTCAAGGCTTCAGGGGTGTCATTTATATAATCTTGCCAACTCGAGGCGAAACCTAGTCCATGTACAAGTTCGTGTAGAACGACGTAGAGGAAATCTTGTTGATCAGGACCTATTATGGGATCGCCCTGAAACCAGTAGTCTCCGCCCGCCGAATTGAACGTTGCGGTAATATCGAAAGTGCTAAACTGAGGATGTTTGGGGAATCGAAACTGTTTGACCAGTGATTGTGGATATAATCTCACGAGTCCATCGTCATCCTGAAGAGGTATCATACGTGTGGGCGTCGCTCCCCCTAAGAAGGAAAATCGAGGTTAACATACTGTACATTCATGCTTATGATTTGCTTGCGTTACAGATGAAATTATTACCTAATGTCACTAAATCGGAGTTACCACATTTTCCAAGAGTTTTACAGAAGTCGATAAAACTGGCGTTCACATTTATCGGTGTATTAAGCGTCAACGTAGATGATATTATACTGCCTGCAATCTCAAAAGTATCTTTCACCTTCTCACACAATGTTGGATTTTTTGCACCGCACACGAAATGAATCACAAACATATTATTATCCGAATTTTCCTGCAGTTGAAAGAAATCATCACCCATTGTGGGTGATTCTATTATTGGACAATTGACCGGTATTTTATGATATCGATTTGTAGGATCTGGATATTCGTAACACCCCAAGGGGACATTTTGTTGGAAGGAGGGAGATGTGAAAAGCAGCGAGGAAAAGAAGACAAGGAATATTGTTAGCGATGAAGGTTTGATTGGCCGCCGCTGCAGTACCAGTGAGTGGAAAGTCATTTTTAGAGGTGAAATTTTAAAAACCGGTCTACGGGAAAAATGAAAACGTGCAAAAAGTCCGGCTTTCTTTATACTATGATTTTATGTCGATATGGACATTAAGATTTTTATATAGGATGAAATGAATGTGGTAAATGATTAAGAAAAATGAGAGGAGGTAAAGGAGAGGAGGTAGAAGATAAAGTATGTGTGAACCGGATACCATTTTTGATTTATGTAGCGGTAAATAATTAAATTCTGTGTTATAGCCAGATACCTTTTGTTCTCGATTTGTTAATTAAATAATGTAGTACGGAATTTGTAAAACTTAATATTGTGTACACGCGCAATAAAATTGCATGACCTAAAATCACATGGTCAAGAAGATGATGTCGAGATACTTGCGGTGGTAAGAAGAGGACAATTACGTTTGAACCTTACCAGATTCGACATTCAAAGTATTTAGAATCGCAATGTTACTTCTCCTTTTCTCGAGACAAAGATATTTTCGTATCCATCATAAAATGAGATCGGATCATCCATCACGTGATCGACAACCATTTATTTAATGGATGCCATTTGTGTAAACTAATAATTTATTTAACCAATGCAACTTTTTTTTTGTACATGTTCCAGACAGACCTCCGTATTCATTATATAGCAACTTACTTTTCTAAGATGCATCATGCGCGATTATGCATTCAATCGTTTTACAAAGCACGGGTATTTGCGATTTTGAAAAGAATTCCATAACTGTTTGCCCTTCCAAGTTTAATGAGTTGGCAAACAATGAAGTAGTAACTAGCATCATCCGAGACTCCAATTTCAATTTACTATTTATTTCATCGCATCGAATGCGTTGATGGCTGTTAGCGGGATTACCAACATCGCACCATCATGTATGCGCGATTTAAGTTTTAATCGAGAGATTCTTTATGGGACGACCAACATAATTATTATGAGGATGATGGTACCGAAAGGAAAATGGCAATGGTGAAGAAGACGAGCGTGAAGTTGAAGCAGAAGTGTTAATATTTGTAGTCTATTTTCTGTAGTCATGAAAGTTTCTACCCTCGATGAATACGTGGGGAAAGAGATGATAAGGCAATAAATGATTCTCTGAAAAAAAGAAATTTTGTTCATTATATATGTACAATATACTTCGTTGCTAAATATACGTGTCATATAAGAAAAATAAAATCCAGATTACGCCTTGATCATGTGTGATTCGATATTTTAAGGACGTCCAAGTTAGCTAAATTCCTCCTTTGCATTGTCAAGAAGAAATTTCATATGTATGATCGATCTAAATATATGAATTTATGTGCATTCGAGCAGAGTGCAGTAATCAGAATATATTAGTTTTATTCTCATGTGAATTCTGTAAACTTCAATTACAATGAAACATATACTCCGTCATTTTTACTGATATTACAGTATATCGTGTTACTTTAAATAACAAAAATTGCTTGCATTACAAACTAAACACATGAAGTAATCTCTGGTTTAGTTTACAAATTTCAGGAGAAACCTCTGTCAAACCATATGCGCACAGCCGATTTTCTATCTATTCTTGAAAATCATTTCTATCTAGTGTGTACTTGTTTATTTGCCAACCCTATGGTAACGCAATAATATATATAATGTATTAAAAGTTGACTTATGAGTAACAACAATGAAGATTTGTTAAGAATTACATTAAAATAACATACGTAATTAATATTATTTAACAAATTTGATTTTTTTTTTCAAAATTATCGATAATTCAATTTGATACACTGTAAAAAATACATTTTTTTTTTAAAAAAACAATTTATTTTAATCTTGTTTAATGAACCCCCATATTTATTTATTAAAAATTTTTATCTTATCTTTTCTATATTAAAAATAAAAATACTTGGTTATTTTTGAAATACTTAATTAATTGTTTTGAAATACTTAATTGTTTGTTTTGAAATATTTAATTGTTTTTGAAATGCTTAAATCATCATAATATTTTTCATTTATATCTTATAATAAATCAAAGATTTCCAAATAAAATTTCATTATTATAATAAAATTTTTGAAACTATAAAAACCTATAATATAAAACTTGAATATGTATATACTATATATGTTTTTAAATAAAAAACCCATTGTAATAATATATTTACTTATTTATTTAACTTCTTAATTAAATTAAAATTGTTTCTTTGTTAAATTAATTTGAATTATAATGTATATATCTTAATTTCAACAAATAATACTAATAAATTTTCAACTGCTACCCCTTATCCAAAAAAAGGCAATAGTTACTAAATATTAATGTAGACTATAAAGTTAATCAAGTTAAACAAAGTTATGTTATTAGATTTTTTATAAAATAATTTTTAATAAAGTAGTAGCAATTCAAAATTAAATAATTTTACTATTAAATTACCATCTTACACATGATTACTTTTTTACCATTGATTGATTAATTTATATTTTTAGATTTGATAATTGTGAAACTTTTGAAATTAAATTTATTTAACATTAGACTTTATATATATAATTGTTAAATTTTTTTCTTTTTTATAGTTAATAAATGGATCAAATTAACTAAGAAATAATTGATTGCAAAACTAAATTAGGAATCCAATGATATGAATAGTATTTTTTAACTACAAATTCTGCTGCTTAATCTGTTAAGCCTTTTTGATATATATTTATATAACAAAATACTTTTTTTACATACTGACAAATAGTTGTAAGTAAGACAGAAGCAAGAGCTAATGGAATAGTTTTTTATAATTCTGTCCATGAATAATCACAATATGACCAGCTAAATTTTTTGGCTGCACCCCAAAAGTTTTTGATATAATTGAGCTTACAATAAAACTTGAAATAGAATACAATTTAATATCTAACTACAACAATAACTTTTTTCAACCATTTTTTTTGTTTCAAAAAATCTGACTGCTCACTTATTATTTTTTGAGCTTCGTCTAATTTTAGTCCTTTGTCTGGTCATAAATCTCTTTCTATCAATATCTGTTTTAATTCTTTTGGTTGTTTATATAATTAAAAAATATAATAATCTAATAGAAAAATCATATCCTATTAAATTTTTTTACTATAATATATGCTACATATCTTTGATTGTTTTCTATTAGGTTTAAGATTCATATATTTTGCAATAAGTGTATTTGAAGAAAAAACAGTATGACTTGTTGCATTATCAAATACAAATAAAGCCTGATATCCTAAAAAGCATACTTCAAATATAAAAATAGCATGTTCAACTACCTGATTTATTAAATCTTCAACCTTCCATTATCTATCATTATTTTTATCTGAATATGTAATAATACAAGAATTTTTAAGAACATTATTTGATATTTGTATTTTATTTGAAAGTACAAGATAGCCACAAATATTTGTCAAAAATTTACTAATAGACCATTACTTTTTTTTCATAAAGGTTGTTCTTTATTAGAAATTCAAAAACTTCAACTTACATCATAAGCTGAAAAAATATATTCATTATGTGTAACAAAAATAAGTGATTGTATATTATTGTTTGACCAAATTTTTTTTTCTAAATTATTTTCTAAAAAAGTAGATATTCTATATTCAAGTTTACTAATTTGGTTTAAAAATATGTTTTGATAAGCAACTATATTTTCTCTTTCATGTCTGTTCATATATATTTCCTTTTTCACTTTGAAGTATATATATCTAAGCTCTTTCAAATAGTTTCTTGCAATATTGAGATGAATAGTTGAAGATAATACAAATCCAAGTCTGGTAAAATAATCTCATTCATTTGTGCTATTAGCATTAGTAAACAATATTTCACTTATGCTTTCAAGCATATGATTTTACTTGAAGAAAAATATTCTTATCCCAAAAAAAACTTCATATTTTAGTATAGTGTCTTTGGCAAAAATAAGAAATTTGATAGATTGTTATATATTCATATACTTAAGAATGAAAGCATCTGATATGATATATACCTTTTCCTGCTGCATTTACAGTATAATAATTTTACTTGCTTTTATTTTTGAACAATTGTATTTTACAAGTTAAAGATAAAGGCAAATACTATTTAACTATACCCAAACTTCACTATTTATATCTTTCTTTTTAATATCCAACACTAGATTTTCAAGAGCAGCCAAGATTTTATTATATCAATTTTTATTCTTATCATCTTTGTTTTCATCATTTTTATCCTCATTATTCACTTCTATATTAATTAACTTGCTAGATCTTTCAGTATTCCAGAAAATAAGCAATGAAGATGTTCTCTTTGTTGTCTCATGATGTTATTAATTTTTTCTTCTTTTAGTATGGTCCAAATTTCCTATATAACATAACCTATTTGCTTTTTGAGAAGCATACTCTTAATAATATCTTTTTGCTGCTTCTTAAAATTTACTTAGAATATTTGTAGTATTATTATTTTTTACTGACTCATCACAAAAAAAATCATTCTTCATTAATTTATTACAAACAAAATCATTTTCCATCAACTCATTGCAAATATTATTACAACCTTTTAACTTTCATTGCATAGTACTCACTTCGTAAGCTTTTTTTAATTGTTTTTAATATTTTGTTAGTTGCAGTATATTATTTTTTGATTAAATTTAATTAGTAAATACAAAATGGCAATTATTTTTTTTTCTTTTAAGTCTTTTACTAATTAATTATTATTTTACACATTTTCACACAAGCTCAATTATCAATAAAAGGAAGTGGTTAAAGTGTAATTCATCACATGTTTTGAGTGGTTAATGTATACTTTGAAATCTTGTCCTTCAATTTTCTTATTGATTCTATCTACAAAACCAATAAACATGATTGACATTTGTTTACATTATATATTATGAGAATGTGGATTACTTGAGAGATATTTGATTTGATTAAATAAGTCTTTTACTTTATTACAAATTATTTTAATTATCACTATTCACTTTCTCTTTTACTAATTAAATATTAACACTTATATATATTTTCAAATGAAAACTTTACTTTCCCTCTTATAACTCCCCTAC